CTTACGTGTAACGGTTCACAAGTATATCGCTTATGAATATGATGCTTGCTCGCTGTCATAACGCAATAGTGAAGTTATGGTGAGTTGCAGGGTTTGAATGCACATTTTTTCGCTTTCGGGCCAATTTAGATCCCAGATACTCAAGAGATGGGGAAACGGTGGTTTTGCATAGCGGTCTCCAGCGCCATCCTGATAACCAGTCCCAACGCGTAACTCATGCGGCAAATCTTCCTCCCCCTGTTTTTGCTCAGGCAAAAGCCGCCGAAGGGTGTATCCCGCGCGGCAGTGGTCCTATAAGGAAACTGATAACCTGCCCCAACGCGTAACGCACGCGGCAAATCTCCCTCCCCTGTTAGACCAGTAATCCATAGAGGCAGGCGTATAATTGCGGAATTGAACAAACTCCGCCACTACACGCAGCCTCTGCGGACTACTGGCCCTTTATTCGCTCAAATTACTGAGCAGCAACTTCATTTACACCTCTTTTTATTCGAGATGACGTTTGTTGTACATTGGCATGGCTATTTAACCTAGCAAAACCTTTCTCAAACATAAAAGATAGGATCTCTTTAGAAAATCCTAAGTACCCTAATTTCACGCGTACAAGGCGCGGAGTGGTCCTAGCTTTCATCGACCAGCCCGAACACGGCAAAGGACTTCGCAACCAAAGGAACCCCATACCGTGCTGCGTTTTGCCTGACGAATCGTGCGGCATAAGGATCGCTTCTTAAAACACGTTGGGGCGGCTGAGCAGCTCGATGAAAGCTAGAACCACCCGGCGCCTTGTACGTGTGAAATTGGGGTACTTGGTGTTTGAAAATATTTTATGTGAAACCACACTTCAATTGTCTCGCATTTGATCCACAAAAACTCTTACCTCGCTTGTATCTGCGAAAGAGTTCTCATTCTTATTCCAAGCCCTCGGGGTCATTATTACAGAAAGCTCCTTTGAAGTCCGTTTACAAGAAAAGGACACTTGGTGACCGTGGTCGTAATGAAACACATACTGCGCTTCGACACGCTCAAACGCTACAAATCTGCTGTCGCTGTCTGCTAAGTGATCGTCTGAAATAAGTTATACGACATTTTTCGAGTTTCTTCAACTTTTTTGATTGTAAACTTCGCGTATATTCGTCTCATTCTCGCATTTTGCTTCTTCTGTTGAAGTGAGAGTTACGAACTTGAAGCGGGATTCGAGACTGAAACTTTTTCATGTCATGTCTCCCATGAATTAAATATTTTCCTTTGTGTGCTTTTTCTCTTTCGTGATTTTTCTGTCGAACGCTCTTTTCTATGATGCAATCCCCGAATTGTTCACATGTAAACCATCAACGTGGTGTCTTTGGATCATTTTAACACATTTTTCGAGTAGGCGCCTTAGATTTGCTGGAGTCAGGGTGTTGAGATGATCGAAAGGCAGCCACGTTGATGCATATGCGAACAAACCTGGGGGATGCAATTCTCCAGAGAGTCGCTGCAACCTACATATCTTTAGTTTTCTTCGGAGAGGACTGATACAACCATCACGATTGCGGAAATTGCGAGTTTTTCTTTGTGTTCACATGATATTGGGTTTTGGAGAATTCAGCCCCATTCCTTTCCATAACTTTTACCGCTTGCCTCTCGTTCTTGATCTGTTTGCTTCTGCTGAAAAACTCCGAACGTGGAGGAATGTAAACGAATGGAAGCGGCATCTGTGACAGTTTTCAGCTAATGCACAAGACCGAGCGCTCATACTCTAGGTTTCGAACTTCTTCAATCACTAGAGCAAGCGAGAAACAAGAATGAGGTAAAACAACCAAAAGTCACTATGAAAACTTAAGAAAATCAAAAATTGTTATTTTGCGCAGCTCAAAACCGCTGCCGGCGGCTGGAGCGCATGTAGCACAATTCCGGCACGGTTCCAGCACAGTGCGAGAACTTTGCTGGAACTTCCGGAACTTCGGGGTCAATATGAACCCAACCCAAATCAAAACCCCAACCCAAATCAAAAGTCCCAAACCAAGCCAAAATCACGTTCAGCTAATCTTTTGAGGTTAAATGCAAATGAGACACATTATTGTTCAAAGTAAGTGCTTTCGCGCTCTTCTTTAAATATTGCCCCGAAAAACGAAACAATCAATATGAGCAATGCTCATAGTTTGGCCTGAATGAAACAGTGCAAATTTTTACGGGAAGAACATACACAGTATTTTTCAGACGATCGCCTAGCAAATAGCAAAAGCAGATTTGACATAGTTTTTAGATGCATCCGGTGATATGTGGCTCGTCAGAAATGGCCACCGTTAGCAAATATCCTTTCCTTGCTAAAGGTTGATGGATTGGATACTGGCAATGAAACCAATTTATCGACACTTATAGTTTCTTTTTTCTTCCAAACTATGCTGTAGTATCAAAATTGAGGTGCGTCCTGACATCAATTTAGTAATTACCATGAAGACCGTGTATTCAAAGTATAGAGCTCACTGATCTTTTCCTTGCTACATCGTGTAGTATTGGGGTGTGTTATCGTAGATTTTGAGTGCTATCAAGGACAAAGGTGATTGCATTTGTTTTAGATATTAGGTTGCCAAGAATATAAAGTCGTTCTTTGTTTGCATGTTTTGAGAAAACAATCACTCTCAACCCAAAACGGGTAATGGTACTGTTTGATAGAGCAAAGCAAGCTCAGCAAGCTGGCATTCATAATTTCGTGCCAAATTTGATCCACGGATAGTTTGAGTTCGAAATCTAATGACTTCTAAATGCCAAAAAAAAACGAAAAAAAATCGGATTCCGTCCAAATAATTTCTGCGGATTTCCCACTCGCATACGTCAATCCTTCGATATCAGACATCTATCAGTGCAGCTGCTATATTTTTTGTTTGACTAGAATCTGAAAAAACAAAGATTTTCATCATATTCTTGAAGCAGTGCTGAGCCGTTTTTGGATGTGTAATTCCTATATGCAAGCTTAGGTGAGTATGGTAGATCTTATTAGATCTAGATTTTCGGCCTATTCCAAACTATAGTTTTGATGATTTGATTTCGCATAAAACTGAGATGAAGAAAGTTGAATGTGATACGGGAAGACTACCGTCCGAAAAGGCTGAAAATCTCCTATACTTACTTAGGCTTCTAGTATAGAATTACATATGCAAGCGGCTCAGCATTGCTTTGAATATATCATGAGAATTTTCGTTTCCTCACTCTCAGTCAAGGAAATTACAGCAACTGCATATAAGGAAGTCTGATATCGAAAGTATTGAAGTGTGCGACTGGGAGGTCGTAGAAATTATTTGGATGACAATCCGATTTTTTTTTCGATTTTTTGGGCATTTAGAGGTCTTTGCATTTCGAATTTGAACTTTTCCCGGATCACTTGGCGCAAAATTATGAATGCAAGCTCGTAGAGCTTGCCTTGCTTTATCAATTAGCACTTTCCACCTTATTTTATGTTGAGCCTGGTTGCTCTGTTAACTCGAACAAATAAAAAACGGTATTATTTTCTTGATAACCTCATAAAAAGCGAAAATTTGGAAATTTTATTTATTCATTTATCAGTGGCGTCCCCAGGATTTCGGCTTGGGGGGGGGAGGAGGGCGCGTCAAAAATTTTTCTCAAAAGAAGGTGCGTGGCGTCAGCCACGCACTCCGAAAAATTTTTAGGGGGGATTTCAAAATTTTTGCTTTTATAAGGCTAATTTGAATTTTTAGAAAATTTTAGAAATTATTTTAATTGGTTACAAAAATAAACAAGTTACTTGCACATTTTTATAACTCATGTAAATAACTTTCAAATATTTCGCGACCCGCTTTTGGGGGGGGGGAGGCGCCCCCCCCCCCTCGGTACGCCACTGTTATTTATTTATTGATACGTGAAAAACACGTGAGTAGAAATAGTAAAAGGAGGCTCTTGCAATGGTAAAAACCGTGGTATCAGTGCTTCAAAAAAACATCAGCAAAAGATATACATATAATAACAATTGCAGCACAAGACAATGTTTCACGATTAAGAAATAGGGCGATTTGTAGTAAAAAAAATTTAGTTTTTGAAGAGCATCTTGTGCAATTAACCTGTTAAAATCGGAAATTACCTTCACAGTGAAAAAATGGGGCCTGAATAGCGATTTTGTCTTGGGAGCTCTTGGTTTTGATGAACCTCCTCTTAGAGTTGTGAACGTTGGAAAACTTTGAAAAGTCAATTTTGCATTTTCCTGTTAGCATCTTGAGAGCCATGGAAAGATCAAATTTTCTTCCTTCTGACGAGGGGGAGTTCCCAAGTCAGCTCGGCCAACTCGGATGAATTATATATCACCGTAACGGGCTTGAAACGCTGATTCCAAATCTGCTTTCTTTTTTGTGGAGCAACTTTCCGAGAATTATGAGCGTTTAAAAGTCTAAATTTGTCATGTTTTAAGTAGTTTAAAATTGGCGAAACCTGTACAATAACACATGAAATTGATTTATCAGTTTTGTATGAAGTATATTGGTTACAAGGACGGACACAGATAATGAAATTATGTTAGGTGTTGTTTTACAGCTTTTAACTGGTTTTAACCCACTTTGAACATGACAAATTTAGACATTTAAACGCTCATAACTTCTCTCGGAAAGTGCTTCGCAGAAAAGGAAAGCAGATTTGTAATCAGCGTTTCAGGCATGCTACGGTGATTTATGACTCATCCGGGTCGGCTGAGCTGAACTTGGGAACTTTCCCTTGTGAGGGCTAAACTAGGAAGAGACAACACTTTATTACGTTCATGCTCCTGGGTATAAGAGAGTAGCTGCGACCTGAAAGTCTCAGAAATAACTCGCTGGTAAAATTGTTTTGCACCCTCTTGATATTAGCAATGTCTCGAATCTTATATGGAGATGTAACTTTAGTACCAAATTCGACAATAGGACGAATGTACATCTTGAATAATTCAATTGATATGATTGAATAGTTCTCCAATTGATATAATTCATTGCTTTGCACACTTTATAGAGCTATCAAAACACCCGGTACATTTCCTTCAGCAACTCCAATTCATGCATAATCTAGTGAAGAACGTCAGGAACATCAGAACAGGAATAGTCAAAATTATCGAGATTCCAGTTGTTGGACTAGAAATGGGCGACCATACACCCGCACATTTAAGGTATGGAAATTACCCACTTTCTCTATGATTAGGATCGCTGCACCATAATAATGTTCGTCACCATCTCTACACTATTCTCTATGACATTACTGCAGCAAATGGATTGAAGACAATAAAAAATATGAAGCATCATTCACACTTGTTGGATACGCGATATATCTTGCAAGGCAAATGCTCAAGGTACGTCTGTGACATAACATCAAACAAAACAAACACAAGGAAGTCGAACTGTGGACTTTGATTGTATGCAGTGCTTAGAGTAAGTAGATACCAGCGACATAGATCGCTGCATCAATACTATTTTTTGTAAGAGTGGCCTTCCTTTCTAAGTCGTTTCGTCAAGCATACTGCTTGACGATCACTTTTCATACTCCAACAATTAGGCTAAAAAGAGTGCTCCCATCGAGATATTGCACTTTCTTGCTGCTTTTAAGTTAAACATAGAAGTTTCTGAATGCTTTTCACTCCGAAAATTATAGTTTATCGCAAAGTTAAATTTGTTTCAGAAAGAGAACACAAAGCATAGAATGATGATACTTTTCTCGGATGGGGATGAAGATATCTGTTTGGCAGATCAGAAGTACTGGTTAGATGAAGATTATGAACCGACGACGGACACTCCATGTGAAAAAGAGTGGAAACTTATGAATAAGCATAAGCAGCTAGCAGAAGCGAAAGCAGTAAGTGCATAGTGGAATGTTTTTGATAAGACGGAAACATGCTATTTGCAAAGTTAAGACGTCTTGGATATCATTGAAAGCTATTATGAGAATGCCTGCATATCATTTGATGCAGCGCTGCTCAAACTCCATCAAAGTCTCAACAATTACAGATAGTTGTATAGTGACATTCTCGCTAACTTTACATTATCCTAACTTCTCACCTTTTGGTTTTGCAAAACTTGCAAGTAATTTTAATTTCGAACCTACAGCTTGACAGTTTGCTCACTTCGGGATAAATGACAACAAGGAAAATTTATAAATAGAATACTTAGACCTTGATGAGACTCTGCTTTTGAAAAGCTCCAGTGTGAGAGTGGTTAAGACCAGAGCACAGAGTTACTACTATGCGTTAGGCCCGTTGCACGACCATTCCTGCGGAAAGGGGAGCGGCGATCTCGTTATAAAAGGTCCGCTTGCGGACGCCCAGATGCCCATGCGGTTTTTTCATCACTTGGGATGCCGCTCCCCTCGGCACAGGGATGATAGTGCATACGGGCCTTAGAAGCGCATTCTTTTTTCTACAAGCTTTCGTTGAGAAAATCAGCGCAAAGGACTGAAAAATTTTCTTTCTTACCTCATTTTGAGTTGATGTAAAAGTTCCGTCAACTTAGCTTCCCCTCCCTCCTAATCGTGACCAACAGACGAAATAACAACATTCTGTGCACACAGAAGCCAAGAGTAGCCTATCAATCTTTAAAAGTTGAGTGAAGATTCAATTATTAGCGAGGATTGTTTCTTGCTCGAAGCGGCCATTTGAAATGAGATATATTTGCTGATGTCAGCGATGCGCGCTGGTCTTGAAACAACAATCCTTTCTTGCATTACGCTTTCTTAAAAGAATTATGGCATCAGAAACAGATGCAAAGACGTTGCTTGTGAATGGATTAGTACATGCGAAACCTGGCGCTGCGCCATTCTGTCATAATAGCACCTATTGCAGTACTTTTATTCTTAGTAATAAGTTAACAAGGTAAAACTCTTGAGTTTTTCAAAAAAAGCGTTCCGCAGATAAGGATCGCAGCTTCGAGATCAGCGTTTATCACTGACAGCACCAAATATCCCATTTCGGAGGGCTACTTTGACTAAAAAGCTTTGCAAGTTTGAGGAATTCTGGTAGAATTATGGAAGTGGCTGATAAGCAGATCGCGTCTACGTGTAGCTATTTGAAAAATGGTGTTAAGTATCAAAAGACGCGGGCCTTGCGAGTGATGTTGGTGAATTCTAGTCCAACTGTGATTTGCTTAGGCTTCAATCGAAACTGATGTGCCCGCGTCAGCGATGCTTTGCTCTTGAAGGCCGGGCGTACTTCACGCGATTGCAGTCGCGACGTGATTTGGCAATTCGCCAGGAGTCTCCCGGTCCAACACTAGCAAACTGCACATGCAGAGGATGTACTTTATGTGAACTGATAAGATGCCCTATCTTCTGTACTGATTGGAAATGTGCTTACAGTGAGTCATGGACAGTTGGAATATAGCCAAACCGCGTCGCGAGTAAAATCGCATGAAGTATGCCCGCTCTTTACTTATATTACTGATGCTCGATTGATGATGAAATATTGACTGTTTTAACTTTTCAAAGCAATCCCACCAGTCCTTCTCTACGCCTTTTATAGCAACAAAGCGTGCTGACCATACAATCGCAAAAATGATTCGTAGACAAGCGAGCAAAAAAATCATTTTTTGCGTTTATACTACTAATATTGAAAGCGTTTCGCTGGTTTGCTTTCAAGCGGCAACGCATAGAACGCAATTTGCTATCTAACAACCTATGAGCACATTCGTAGCGTAATTGCTGCCTGCTCGCAAAATTTTGCGAGTTCTGAACATGGGGGGGGGGAGTCGCGCGGCTTTTCATGAAGGTTCGCCTGGCTTATAATCATTTCGTTCTGGAGAAAGTACCTCACACTCAAAAGAATAATGCTTTCATCCAGGATTAAAGCAGAGCCGCTCAAACTCAAGTCAATTCTTTTAGAAGCAATCTGATTTCTTTTATTCCCAAAATTCATATTGCTAGAACATTCTTTTAAATGCTTTCCTTCAACAGTGAAGGGCTTTCTTCACTGTTAAAGGACATTCAATTTTCGTACCAAAGTGCTTCTTCACATCAGTAAATTTTCATACGGTGAAATCGGAATCCAAGGTTTCTCTCTCGAAATGACGAAACTTTTTGAATCTTCACTCTATCCAAAAATAGAACATTTTCCTTCCTTCCTCTAAGTTCATGCAGCAATACGAATTTCCTCAATATTCGAGGCCTTTCCGCCAGAAGCGAAGCAAGATGTATTACATGAGATGCGGAAGAAGAACTGTCTCTCAGTTTGCCTCCTAGGAAACCTCACAGATTGAGAAAATCTATAGTTTTCAATTTCAACATGTAGGCGAGATCCTTGAGATTACATGAAAGTAAGTTTAATTTGAAACTGTTTCCTTCTGTCCGTTTGAACGAGTGATAACAGGCGCAAAAACAAGCGCGTTTCTGAACAGTAACTATACCACCAGCGCTAATATGAGGTTCCAATTGAATTGGTATGTAGCGCACGAACTCTTTTTCATTATTCTATAATTATCATACGATAATGATAGATTGGTAATGTCTTGTTTATTGGCTAAACAAGGAAGATTGTATCACACGCAACGCAAAAGTTCTCGGGCTACAGGATTGCTTTTGCTTAGCGACTTGAATCCCTTTGATCCAAAATTCCAGATTTAAACAAAAAGTAAGGGAAACATCGAAAAGAGCAACGACTTTTGCTCACGTCATGATTTTGGAGCAATAAACGATTGAACTTAGTTTTTGTGTCACGTTTTCCAATCGCACCCTGTTGCACCGCAAACGCTTTTTCGTCAAAAAAGTCAACAGTTTTTCTCCTAGTGCATAGGGGTTGGCTACTTTCAGGATATTCTGGACTCACTATCACGTTCCTTAGTAGAAGATTTCTCGAATTTACGTTGGAAAAAAAAGAATTTCTCGAAACTTTTCACAAGTCCTTTATATTAGGTTGGCTAATAAATAAGTTCGGTCGCTTTTTCAGCTCTTACAAATGCTGTATAAAAATTTATGTCCAATGTCCGGTATCTCTGAAAAGAGCACTTCACTAGGTATTGGAACATTTATTCTGTTTGAGTGAAACTTATCTTCCCAGGAAAAAAATCCACAAACAAGTGAAAAATCTCAATTTTCTCATAATGCGCAAGTATGAGGAAATTTCGTTTTCTTAGTGAAACATTTTCAAAATGGATGATCACACTCCTTTTTGTTGTTCACTAAATAGGGATCACTCCTCTGTATCCAAACACCAAACTGCTGTTCTTTATATCTATTACAGCATGAAAACAAAGCTCAAGAATCCAAACAATTGACATTTTGGAAATTTCGCCATGTTGAGTCATAACTATCTTTACTGACGATAGAAAATTCTGATTATTTGACACTAGCTGGCTTACCCGGCTCCGCCGTATCCGAACCAAACTTGGCACACATACACTTCGGGCCCCCGCGGGTGTCACAGTCCACTTTTCGTTATCGATCGATGTCGATTTTACCTATTTTTTATCGATTTTTTTGCAGAGTTCACCTACAGGGCTAGGAGTTGGCACAAGGGGGGAAGTGAGCATGGGGATTCCGAATACAATATTAGTTTTCAGAATTATCGATTACTTTTATTGATTTTATCGATTTTTTGTAAATTTTGGCATGCGAGGCTGGGATTTTGCACAGGGGGTCACCCCCCTTGGGGATGATCAGCATGCTCGATTACCCCCCTGTGCCAACTCTCAGCCCCCTAGCTCAAACTTTGCAAAAAAATCGATAAAATCGATAAAAGTAATCGATAATCCCGAAAACCAATATTGTATTCGGAATCCCCATGCTCGATTACCCCCCTGTGCGAACTCCCAGCCCCGTAGCTCAAACTTTGCAAAAAAATCGATAAAATCGATAAAAGTAATCGATAATCCTGAAAACCAATATTGTATTCGGAATCCCCATGCTCGATTATCCCCTGTGCCAACTCCCGGCCCCGTAGCTCAAACTTTGCAAAAAAATCGATAAAATCGATAAAATCGATATCGATCGATGACGAAAAGTAGCCTATGACACCCGCCGGGGCCCGAAGTGTATGTGTGCCAAGTTTGGTCCGGATCGGTTCAGAAATGGAATTTTCTATTCGGAACATACGTACATAATACATACAGACAGACAGACAGACAAACAGACATTCAGCTTTATATATAAGATGTGATAGAGAAAGCTTCGAACTACTTTCCCACAAGGAATCATAGGTTAAAAGCAACAAGGAAATTTTTTATGACAATTTGTATGCCAAAACGAACTTACTTTTTAGCCAACCTAATATAAAAGGGATTGCAAGATTTGATATGGGATGCATCGCGGCAAGGGATCCGCCGAGGAGTAAAATCGCAGACCTCTGAAGTAGGTTTTTGTAAAATGCCAGTATACATATTCAAATCTTAGGACTTATGTCAGATTCACCAAAAAAACTTGGAAATCACGCCAATTTTTTTAACCTCTGAGAGACGGTACTTTCTCCGCGCCCTGTAACTAGACACCTCCTACTTCTCTTATCAGGTGCACCTCAATATATTGGACCACGGAATTCCATGCAATGCCTTACCAGTTCTGTGTTGTCAAAATGCCTTGACGGAATGCTTAGAAGAAGAATCGCCCATCCTATTCGATCTCATGTTTAACTGGAGACAATTGACACAAACAACCACCACACACACATCATGCAACCTTTCGACCATAGGGTCAATTTTTGACAAAAGCAACAATGCCATCTTATGTTATAGAAGGATTTTCTTATTATCTTCTTCTTAACGAATGCCACTTCCATATCCCAACTGCTTCTCTAACGAACGCCACTTCCATATCCAAACTGCTTTTGACTCCTCTTTTTCCCGCGTTTCGAAAAGGAGCTACTGGAGTGAAATCTACGATTCAAATACCGCCAAGGAAGCACTCTAAAAACTTATTGAAACTTCTTGCAGCATTTTTAATTAGTTACCAGTACTTCTTTTCGTTTGCTGTTTTATTTATATCTCTTTCTCTTCTTTGATTTTCTCAAACCAATCATCACTTTTCATGGTAGGGGGGAGGAGCAGGAATTCCAACAATCCTCACTTTTGAGGCTTGCTCTCTAGCTATTGAAGATATGGCACAAAAGTGACCGTCACTCTTGCTTCGAGATGTGCTTTCGCGCTTTCTTTTGGCATGAGGACTCAATCATCTGCTGAGTTTTTTCCAGGCAAGAGCGGAAGGCATCAAAATCATTTATGTGGCGGTTGGTCCTAAAGTAGACAGAAGTAATACCACCTCTTACAACGAGAATTGTATGGATAATGTGATAGACTTGGCTGGAGGAGTCAAAAATGTGGTAGAAGCTGGCAATATGCAGGTAGCTGTGATTTTTATCATGACCAGCGCAAATATTATTAGTTAATTTTCAGAACTTAGATATGGGCATAATGCATGAAGTTGTGAAGACTGTGTGCGACCCCAATTATTAAACGATCTGAATAAAGTTTTTTTCACTACACAGACTTGGTGCTTCATTCGAGATAAGTCGACATCATCGTTATGTGTGGAATGAAGCAGATATCAAAGCATCGTTCAAACGCTGCAGCATGACGAAGGCGCAGAAGCGTATTAGCTAAGTGGGCGCGAACGCTGCGCGCACGTATATTCACGGTTGTAAATGCGCCTCATGCGCTCTGCGGCTAAAGAAAGCGTTTGCGCCTAAAGATATTGCGCCTTCGTCATGAAGCACTCTATACCCAAAACGCAGCCGAAAAAGAAATAGCTAAATTTAGGGTAAAAAGGGCGCATCGTAAGTCATGCAAGCAGGCATATAAACGAAAATCGAGACGGACATACATTGCAACGAGTTATTACACGATTGACATGCTCCATTATGATCTCATGGAAGGCGCGCAGAGACCAGAGTACTTACCTAATAATCATACCCTCGATACATAGAGCCATGTACTCTGGTAACCTTCACTTTATGTGCTATGAGGGGACACAACCTTCACCTGGAAAAAACATAAGATGTATCCTGACTATATCGAAACGAATGTTAATGGAGCAAAGATTGGGAGATAATATATTTAGCTTATCTCAGCGAAACCGAGGATTTGCGTTTTCATAGCCTTTTTGCGTTGAAAAGAAGGTTTCTGTGGAATTTTCGCCAGACTTTAGGACAAAATTTCTCAGTTGACCTCTAATTTGACCAAAATCGAGTTTAAGAAATTTGGAAAAGCTGTTGGAGTTAAATAAAAACGAGAAACTGCGCTTAAATCTTGCGCAGAAAATCGCGCACGAAAAGACTGGTCTATCTCGTTAATGAGTGATTTTCAAAGCTTGGGACGTTGTCAGTTCTCCTCGTCGTATCATGACGATCAGAATGATATATAATGTTGCAGGATTTCGTTCAGACCCCGCGGAGATCTACGACCAGAGCCAAATGCCCCGTCGGCTCTGGTCTGTCTCCGCTGCTCGTCTGCGTCTCCGCGCGCTGCGCGCTACCTCGCTACCCCAAACGCGGGGCGCGGGGCATTTGGCTCTGGTACCCTTTTCTTCGTTGTTTCAAACCCAATTTTAGCAAGCTATATATCATTTTGAAGCTCTTGATCTCTACATTCACCCTGACAACGTCCCATAACCACATTTTTTAATCTGATCGAGAAATCCGGCAAAAACCTTGTTTTCGAAAATCTCTTGTTTTCCTTCTAGTTCAACTCTTTTCACGCGGTTTTTTCGTGCATTCTATAGATCCTGCTTCTGTTCATAATGCAGACAACCTCCCAGCCCTTACCTCTTCGATTATGATGGAATTTTTTGCAAAAAATCGTAAAAAAGTGCGTTTTTCTTTACCCTGTTCCGTTTCAGTGCTTTCATATCGATTTTTTTCCAGCTTGGGCGATTGTTGCTCAGAACAATAAGCGCAACAATCTAGACAACGTCCCAGGAAACGGGAACGTCAATGCAGGGGTAAAAATTTAAAAATCAAAACCCCGTGTTGCGAAATGCTGGTTCTGGAGCGAAAACTTGCACTTTGGAAAGCCGCCAAATGAAAAATTGCAAACTCATTGCAGCGTTTTTATCCGGTTTTCAGCAGTTTCTTTTGCTTTTTTTTAATCTGTTTTACGTCATTTTCTCTTCTCTGGTTTTTTTAAAACAACCTTTACTATTTATGACGTCAGATGTTCAAACAACCTTCACTTTTGGCGCCCTGTCTCTAGACTATCGAAGGTATGCTAATAATTAAATAACCCGTATTTGAATGGCTGCGGTCTCAGCATAGAACTTATACCTATGCCTATCCTTCGCTTTAGACATGTAAGATTTACTCGATTGTGGTCGTCCACTATTTCCAGGTGGGACCCCTTTCTGAGCTGGTCCATCCGTTCGACGAACACACCTGTCCATCTAGCTAGTAATCGTCGGAGAATCTGTTCTGGTAATCTGAATGTCTATCTGTAGTGTGTTCTTTCTAAATGTGATTGGCCCATCGGTGTCTTAGTTTCGCGAGGTACTCTAGGCCACGGAGAGGAAATTCTTCTCATATACGTATTGCAAAGTCCGATGAGGTGTTGCTTGCATCGGGAACTTTAGAAGATTGCGCTCAAGCAGTTTATGAGAAGTTTCATGTTTATCAAATGTCCAAGATACACGTAAGAAAATGTCTCCGTAATAGAGTGCCTTTCATTTTTCCGCATTTTCGCAAGGAGCGCTCTTCATAGACTTGATTTTTTTCCATTTATTCGCATCTCGATCTTTTTTCCTTTTTCTTGGTTCCCTCAGCTTCGTCTCTGCTTCAGAAATACTGCTAGGACAAGGCAACACATTCCCCTAAGCCCTGTGGTGTTGTGTATGATGAAGTCACCCAATTGGGACGAAAAAGGCAACGTGCTGATAGGAAATTCTCTCAAAGCTTCGTTTCGCGGACGACAATTGACAGGGCATGTCGTCCGCGAAACGAAGCTTTGAGAGAATTTCCTATCAGCACGTTGCCTTTTTCGTCCCAATTGGGTGACTTCATCATACACAAGACCACAGGACTTAGGGGAATGTGTTGCCTTGTCAACCTCCTTACCAATGGAGATGGTAATGGAGCGATGAACAGCTGCATCGCCGTTGTGCAATCTTGTGGCAACTGGCTAATATTCTAACATAAGCTGAGCCCACTCCTTGATCGACTATCGCGGGCAGAGTGACTTGGTTCCGGCACTGTGAAAGGCTTTCTCGTAGTCGACGAAGATATGGTAAGGAGAAGAGGCAGTAGCTGTTTTTGCGAAAAGCTGTGGCCGTATTCATCAACGGTCGACGAACCCTGAGCGTAGACCTTACTCTCATGTTTATTGGCCACACTCACTAATGAACCCTCGAGGATAGGATAGGGTTTGCCTCGGCGACTAACCATATCGACCAACGAATCTCGAGGGTAAATCCTACCCTTGAGGGTAAAGCTTACCCCAAAGGGCAGTTAAGCCTATTCACGAACGCGGTTCCTAAGACTAATTTTAATTCTAGCCTAGAGCAAAATTAGATTCACTCTGACTCTTTCTTACAAACATCAAGTGATCTCTCCATGCTCAGTCTTAGCGGTACTTTTTTGGCAAAAACGCATATTTGTGGTAACTACTATCTCAAACTTCCTGTGGCCTCTTTTCGTGTTTCCATTTGATGTTATCGTCCGTTATAACACTCGGCCGAGTTGTTATAAGTAAAAGATGTAATTTTGAATTAAGTACATGTTCAGCTTCGAAATGGGAACATCAAACTCAACAACTCGAAAATTTTCGTAACAAAGAACCTCTTTATTCAAATTTTAGTCCACCAATATATACTCGTTCAGGAAATGATTTAATACATGATCACATTAGCGTAGCTTAACTAGAGTGTGGACCTTGGCCATGCGCAGTGATCCGGAATCGTTTACGAATTATGGCTAGAAGTTGACTCATTGGCTTAGTAAGAAACAAACAAAATTTAGGGGCATGTCGAAATTTGGCGTCCTCATAAAGTCAAACGAGTCGATGTACGCAAGAGCTGCTGGGACGACCGTCAATGACTAAAGAGTCCGAAGCTCAAATTCCGCCGAGACTTTACATAGTAAGGTTATTTGATCTGCCAAACGCAAATATCACACTCATTTGTTGAATCAACGTCTTTTTCCTTGTTTAGGGTGAGACCTCATATCGTACACCTCAGTAATCCTACAAAAGAGCCCTTATCACACAATTTCGCTATCATTTTGGTGATCAGCATGTCGGATAACACCCCTATGCCAAGTTTCAGCCAAATTCCGTCAAACTTTGAATTTTTCCCCTTCATACCTACCGTAGCCCTCACTGAGACGTCAGAATTTGGTAGGACAGCAACTGCGCTTGTAGCTTACCAATTAATTACCAACGCAGTGGCAAAACTTGAGTGCGCCATGTTGAGTGAGAAGGAAGTTATGAGACCAGTTGCAAAACTTAGTTTCCAACCTAATAAAATGAATTTTGGACAATTTGACGATTGCCAAATCATGTCGCCACTGAAATGCCTGCAGTATGCCCTGGTCTATAGGGGCATTCGTGCTCGCTTCGCGGAATAAACCACATGCCTTCGTCCCCTATAGCCTTTACCACAAAAGACGAAGGTTTCCGATGAATAGGCAATGTACCGTAGCATTTGTGGCGTTTAAGTACATATGTGGCCACCGTTAGTGCTTTAAAAGATCGCGCACCTAGCGCTATGAATCCGAACAGCTCGTTAGGTGAACACTTTATCAATTTTTGGAGAAGTTTGAGCTACGAGGTTGGGAGTTGGTACAGAGGGGTAAATGAGGATGCTGATTATGGATAAAAACTTACCTATCGATTTTATCGATTTTTGGAGAAGTTTGAGCTGCGGCTGGAAGTTGGTAAAAGGGGGTAAGTGAGGGTGCTGATTATGGATAAAAATTTACTTAATCGATTTTGTCGTTTTGGAAAATCTTAAGCTATGAGGTTGTGAGTTGGTACAGGGGGGTTAATGAGGATGCTAATTAAAACCGAAATCTATTTCATCGATTTCAGCGATTTTTGGAAAGTTTTGAGCTAGGAGTTGGCATAGGGGATACGAGGGTGCTGCTCATGAATGGATCGGCTTTGGCCAGATATGTCGACAAATTTGAGATATGGTTTTGCCTTAGTTACTCGATAAATCATTCGAATATTTATTCGAAATTCGACTTCCAATGTTCGAATATATTCGATATTCATTCATTCGATATTTTTGATTTTCCGAATTTATTCGAAATTCATTCACTCGAGAATTTTTGAACCTCGAATTTATTCGATATTCGTTTACTCGAAATTTTTCCTTTTCGAATTCATTCGATATTCATTCATTCTATGAGAAATTCGAATTACCCAATTATACTGACTGCTAATAGTTGCGAACTATTCTCCGTCTAGGCCTTTCTTGTTGAGATTCTCAAACACCTGGAGCGGACAAACCGCGGCCCTTTTCCGGCTGGAGTTTCGCAGCTCCCGCATCCCGGCCGGCGATGTGCCTCGGCTCAGCCGGCGATGTGCCTCGGCTCAGCTGCAGTTAATTGTCGGGTCGTCCGTAGTTCATTCTAGCTCGGCCTATGGGCCTTGGCCCACCATTTATAGGGCTCCTCTTTGTCACTAAATCATATAAAATTTGATTGCCTAAGCTGGACACGGTAGAACTGTCTTTTATTCTGGCATAAGAAAATACTCAGTACCCTATTTTCAGGTGTATAAGCCGCACCCTTTTTGCTCTAGACGCGAGCAGACCCAGGCGTGCCGCCGCGCATATGTCTCGCGAAGCGGTCGCCTTATCGCATACTGCTCTCACTTAACGCGCTCCATGATGACAGTCAGTCTTTTGGCGTGTTCACCTTTAGAGTGAAAAGGGTGCGGCTTATACACCTGAAAATAGGGTAAAAACAAAAATTGAAGCTACCGATTTAGCAGCTTCGGACACCAGTCCAACTTCAAGGTTGGATAGCGCCAGAATGCTATCCAGGGTTGTTTACGAGACAGCATACTGATCATGTTCCTGCCTGAAAGACTGGAAGCACATCCAAGGCAATGGGCATTGAGGGCAGCCTGACCATGCGTCGAACATCACGCAAGTATCCTTTACCTAACAAGGGAAGCTTGTTTAGTCGAAGTGTCCTTTCCAAATGAGATGTATACCATATTAAAGCACATAAAACGCTGATTCCAAAACTGTCTTCCTTATCTGCAGAACGTTTATGGACGAGAAGTTATGAGCGTTTTTTGGAGCCAAAAATTGAATGTGCATTTTGAATGAAATGTGTTGTTAAAATCTTACTAGCCTACAAATAACGTAGCCAAGTGTGTTATAATTTTTATTTTAGAGTAATTTTCAAGTGAAGTTTGGTGATTATCACTGCTCCTTTGAAGAGCTAGAAAAAGTATTACGGTTATTTTTGTCACACTTGCACATTCAATTTTTGACTCCAAAAAACGCTCATAACTTCTCGTCCATAAACGTTCTGCAGATACGGAAAGCAAATTTGGAATCAACATTTTATGCTCTACAATATGGTGTACATCTTATCAAAAAGGGCCACTTCGACTAAACAAGCATTCCTTGTAAGACACTCCAAGGGCCGAGCCGCGGCCTTCATTTGACACAGGCCGCGGCTCGGGCGGAGTTTCTTACACGGATTTTGGTCGGCGGCTCAGCCGCTGAAATGCTCGCCCCATCATTAAGGGCCGCGGCTGAGCTGGTGAGCCCATTTCCTCCCGCGGCTCGGCCGGTGCAATGATAATGAAATGAACGAAGGACCGCGGTTGGCCCACCGGCCACGTCCCCAAAATAGGGCCGCAGGCGGGCCGGAAAGGCCTTTTAGGGCCAATGGCACGTCCGCTCCAAGTGTGAGTTATAGGCTTCCACTTCTCATTTCACTCCTACCTTCGTAGAAATGATTTTTTGTTCGTAAGTGAAATGAGAAGCGTCAAGGCGAGCACGCGTTGCGTATGCGCCTCGGAGGTACCTATGGGAAGCTGGCCGGACGCACGCTAAAAAAAAGTTGACCATCAATATAATAAAGAAAATTTATCATAGTTTTTGTGATATGATTGGACAAGAAGAAAATAGGACTCAGGTAATCTGAGATAATCTATATATCTCGTTTCCCCGAGATAGATGGGGCGTGCCGCTGCACAAGTCCGCAAATGTCCGTAATCGGCCGCGGCGCGAAATCGATAACGCCGAACAGCTCATAATTTTCCGAGGCTGCAGCGATAGGTGGGTTTTCTTTGCTTAATCATGCTTTTTTGTTTCAGATTTCGTTGGAAATTGCTAAAGGTGAGTCTTTATTGTTCATTTACTCTGATTTCATAGTATTTTTTTAGTTTTGGCGCATTGCTGGTGCGGATATTGCACTCTTCGTGCGACATGCGTGCTTTTACTTCTTTTTTTTTACTCATGTGTAGTTTTATGTTGCACTCTTCGTGCAACATGGATTGCATTATGCTTTACCTGTGTTTCTTTCGATTTCCATCTGAAACCTGAACAAAACAACATGAACAGAAACACAGGTAAGCATAATGCAATCCAATTCAACGAAATAGTAAAAGAAAATTTGTTAAAAACGACACTTGAGTAAAAAAAAGTAAAAGCACACATGTTGCACGAAAAGTGCAACGTGTAATGACACATGAGTAAAAAAAGAAGTAAGAGGACACATGTTGCACAAAGGGTGCAAAATCCTCACCAGCAAGACTCAAAAACTGAGAATATTATGAAATAAGTGTAAATGAACGATAAAGACTCACCTCTAGCAATTTTCAGCGAAATCTGGAACAAAAAAAGCATGATTAAGCAAACAAAACCCACCCGTCGCTGCAGCATCGGAAAATCATCAGCAGTTCAGCGTTATCGATTTGGGCGCGGCCAAAGCCATATCCATTACGGACATTTGCGGACTTGTGCAGCGGCACGCCCCATCTATCTCAGGGAAACGGCGATATCACTATATCTTATATCTATAAAAGTCGAAGTTTGTGCAACTCTGGATCGTATGTTTTTATAGACTCCCTTGCGCGTGAACCAATTGAGCTGAAACTTTGCACATATATGTTTTCGACTCTGTAGATGGTTTTAGGCTACTCTCTGAGGCGATTTGCTGGGTTTTTCTATCGATTTATTGAATTTCGGCAGCTAGCAAGAAAATGAAGCCTTATCAACCTTTACCATACCTCTTGCACATTTTGGTGTAAGCAACAGCAAAGAAACTCATTCTCACTTTTCGGTCAAAAGGGTGCGGTACTTCCAGATGATGCTGCTTTGAAATAGGCATTTGCAATTACAATGCACCCTGCAAGTGCATATAGGCTCCAAGATCGGAGAAGAAAAGGGGGGGGGCAGAAATGCAGCAGATGGAAGCGGGATGAGAGATGGAAAGGCATAAGTTTTGAAGAGAACACATATGTTATGCGCTCCCCCTCCTCCTTCTAGCTCCGTGGCTCATGAACCGGGAAAACTGGGTATGCCAGCTGGTATACACTCAGACAATTGCATCGGGAAGTTCGCGGCATCGAAGCGTGTTACATGGAGCGCCGCGGCCTTTGAAATTTCAGCCCCGCACGCCGCGGCTCAAGTATATTTTACCGGGAACGCCGAGGCCAAAGTTGAAATTGGGAAGAGATTAGCGGAAGGGTCGCGGCCCAATCACCTCACATAGCGGGCCGCGGGCCTTATCAAAGGCCGCACTTTTTACACACTGTAGGCAGTGGCGGTCCGAGGGGGAGGCGGGGGGGGCGCCCCCCCCCCCCCCGAGAATGGGTCGCGAGTAGGAGTACTTACCTATATGGATTATAAAAATGTGCAAACGACTTGTTTCTTTTTGTAAATAATTAAAATAATTTTTGAAATTTTTTAAAATTTAAATTAGCCTTATAAAAAAAAATTTCGGGGGCGTGGCTGACGCCACGCCCCCTTTTTCCAGATTTTAGGGGTTGGGGACCCGCAAAAATTTTGAGGAGTACTCCTAAAAATTTTTCGGAGTGCGTGGCTGACGCCACGCACCTTCATTTGAAAAAAATTTTTTCCGCGCCCCCCCCCGCCCGGTTCGAAATCCTGGGACCGCCACTGACTGTAGGGTAAGGCGCAACCCGCGTGAGGTACGCCGGAGCGTTGGAGCAACCCTAAGTGTTTAAGGAGGTGGGTATCACTTCTCAGATTTGGTCTTATCTGACAGAATCGAGTTTTCATGATTATGAAATAAACTCCAGCAGTCAGTTGACTGTTATCGACGACACTAGATGATGTTGACAGATGAGCTAACAAGTCGCTCAGTTTGTACTCAAGTCGTCATTATGAAGGACAAATTAAATAGTTTTTCACTATTAGTCCTACAAGCATGCTAATCGGGTCAACTATAGGCGCCTAACGGGCACTTATAGGATGCGCCGCGGTCACTTATCGGGTCTAACATATGGGTTTACCGGGCAGCTCGCGGCATGGATGATTGGTGGTCGGACAAGCACCCGCGTACTTCCCGATGCAATTGTCTAAGTATATAAAACTCAAACGCTGTACCTTTTCTTAGGATGTCTGTGGCTTATAGACTCCTTTGTATGTGAATCAAAAAAAAACTGAATTTTGCTCCCCTATAAATGAGACACGAGACAGGCTACTTTTTGCCACTTTTCGCTGGGTCCTTCTATCGATTTATTGACTTACTAGTTGGCAAACCCGGCTCCGCCCGGGCCTGTCAATAATATATTTGTAATCAGCATGCTCGATTACCCCCTGTGCCAACTCCCAGCCCTGTAGCTCAAATTTTGCAAAAAAAAATCGATAAAATCGATATCGATCGATAACGAAAAGTAGCCTATGACACGCTTCCTGCCCGAAGTATATGTGTGCCAAGTTTGGTCCAAATCGATTCAGAAATAAAAATTTCTATTCCGCACATACGTGCAGACATACATACATACATTCAACTTTATATATAAGAAGATTTACGTAAATCTATAGAATGAAGGGCTTACCAAATCATTTGTTTGAGTGAGAATGAAGACAGGCGGAATGAAGACCTACTACCTTTGTAGTCCTATGATTTTTTTCAACATCTAATCAATTCTACCATCAACCATGGGATTTACGTATATTTTTCTTAGCCACAAAAGTCATATTATCTGAGAAAAAATTAGCTAATTCCATTCACTCACAATGCTGAGTTTACGAGGTTTTTCTGGCGGACGCTTTCGATGTCAACGACAACAGTGTTGCCTTCTTTGGTTTTCACAGTAAGTTTATTGTCGTTGACGTTACATTCGATTGTTACCATCACAGGCTTCGTCGAGCTGTATAAAACCTAAACGATTCATTTCCTAAGACTGGTTCTTACAGCTTAAGTGACAGTTGTGAGTAAACACAGAGAATTCCAAGAATATGAGAAATTTTACCGCCCAGTTTTGCCATCAATGACGATGAAGAAGCGATCAAAGTTCTCCCCAGATACGGGACCAAGGGGATGGCAAAAAATTGAAAATACCTTAAAGAAAATTCTACGCTTATAATTGGTGCAACATCTTAGAAAAACATGTTGAACGTAATATCACACATTCTTATGTATCTTACTAAGAAAGAATTTTTTTAAGTGCAGACAAAACTTCGTACACTGATTCCTTTGCATGACTTTATTGGATACACGTATAGCTCTTTCACAACTCCAATAGGTATCACGTTGTTCTTAGCTTTGTTCTTGTAATGTTTTATTATCTGAAATATTGCTAGTACATAAGCACCAAGAACAATACTTGACTCACACAGTAAACAAGCACAAATGCGCCAACTCCAGCAGCTACGAGAGCTCTTCTTTCCTGCCACATAGATATGGTGACAACGAGACAAAATGTAAGAGTCCAAAGAGTAAAACCGGGAGAAACCTAAAAATATTCGATAAGCGGCTGGTCAGGTGGATCGTTGATCTCTGAATGTTTGCACGTTCTCTCAGATAGTAGAAAGGATAATCATCGACTAAAAGAAGTTAGAATTTTAGTAACTCTCTGGGATCTTTCTTCGAGAAAAATTAGATAAGAGAACAAAGAACGTTCGCGATGGTGTAAAATGATAAGAATTTTCTCTGGGAGTAGAAAGAATATTATTCGATTTCCTACAAATTTTTATCCTCTCAAGCTAATTCAGTGAAAAGATGAAGGCTTTCGAGAAAGAGCATTAAACTAGAAGGCAATTGAAAAACTTTCGTTTTGTGGCAGTTATCACCCCTGCACTTACCTTTGTTGTAGACTGTGCCTCCGGTTGGTATTTCAATCACTACATAATATATCAAGGTTTTTTGTACTTTCCGTACACTATAGTAGGTGGTAGACGAGGAGATGCCCGAAGAGATATGTACGGACACGCCCCTTGTGCATTTCAATATCAGACATGTTTTCGTACGAAATTACGCCTCGAAATTTTTTCTTGGTGCATAAATTTCGTCTATGAACATCTAGAAATCAAACCGTAAACATGTCATCATGTGTGTTATCAACAGTCTTAAGAAGATGTTTTCGAATAAGTCACATGATCGCAAGTGTTAAGTTGTTCCGAAAGTTCCGTCGTTTTGATTTTGAAAAATTCAACTGCTCCCTATGTGCCGCTCTTTCAACAGACAACTCCAGAGATAAAAAGCAGATAAAAGGCCCTCGCAGTCCAGATATTCAATCTAGAATGCTGCAGAAATTCTGAGAGCATGGTTTATAGAGGTTTTGTGAGCTGCTCTTTCTAATAGTGCCAACTCTGTGGTGATTGTGCTTTTCTATGAAAATTTATGATTCCCTTGAAAATGCAAAAAACTTCGAAAGTGACGTTTTTTGCATTTTTCTGCATTTTTTGCGAAATTCATAACATTTCGTAAAGAAGCTTGTGTGGCACAGACTAGGCACTATTAGAAGGAGCAGCTCACAAAACCCTGATGAACATGCTCGCAGACGATTTTTGACGATTTATTTTCGAAAATCACGAGTTTGGGTGGTTTTATACAAACTTTTATCTATGGAGTCTTTTGCCGCCAAAGGAGCAAAAGATGATTCCAAAAAGTAGATAAAATTCTCTGTCTGGAAATATTTTTCATAATTCAATATGTTCGCATAGGGAGCAGTCACGAGTTTTTTAAAATCAAGGCGACCGAACTTTCGGAACAACCGACTACATATGTGATCCTGAGTAATTCCATGATATAACGATGAGAAATGTTTCCGTTGGTCGAGGTTTAATATATGTACTGTGATCGCCAGTACTCTGCAATATCGCCTTCAAGGCTGTTGCCGCATCGTCTTACTTGTCTTACATCATCTTCTTCCTATCATAATGTCTTGCTTGTAGCTGGTAAAGGTGTTTCGACAATTCCGAATTAGGTCATTATTGTGTTCCGCTAACTTTCGCAAATATAAACGAAGAATCTAACTTTGAATGCGTTAATGTTATTTTGTTGTTCACACTGCTTATACAAAGAGTATATTGTATGAGTGACTGGGTCTTTTGGTAGAGCCAAAATTTGACGCTTCGAGAATGAAGTACTGTCTACAAAAATACTGCGACTTTGATGGAAATTTTGCTTCTAGACCTTTTACCTTTAGAAAATCTAACTTTTCTCGCAAAAACAAAAAGCATTTGCGTGGGTCTTGTGGTCAGAGGCGACGTTTCAAAGGAAAGGGCACTATTTAGATATAACTACATAGCGCAAATGATGTTCGGAAATTTTGATCAAAAATGTTATCTGATGGCATTTATTTACAGATCTGCTTTTGCTTGTAGAGAATTTCGCACATGCGCAACTGGGTCTCGCTGGTATACGAGCGCTTACCCGATTAATCTTACTTTCACTTCCAGGAAAAAACGCTCGATTAACTGGATCTTGCTAGTGAAAAGGATGGTTCATTTGAAATACTACTCGCCTTTTAGAGAAAGCGCTTAGCCAAGGGTTTCACTGAGAGGACGAGGAAAAAATTAAGGGAATGCAACATTTGACTTACTCTTGGTAAAAATGAGCTTTACTTTGAAGAAATCCAAAGCTTGGTAACTAAGTCTTGCTGGCTGAGATGAACTTCTTTGGTGGAATTCCAACGCTTGAGTAACCGGGTTTCACTGGCGGAAAAGTGTATTTACTTGGAGAGATCCAACGCTTGAGTAACTAAGTCTCGCTGGTGGAGATAAGCTTCTACGTGAGGAAACCTATCCTTGAATAAGCTAGTCTAGCTGGTGGAGATAAGATCTTATTTGGGGAAACATTTTTTATCCCGTAGAAAGGGCTGTTGGAAACGAACGCTTACTGGGGAAATGTGCTCTTTCTTGAAGGAAGGAAAGCTTCTTAGTAACAGTGTCTCTCTGATGGAGATGAGCTTTCACTTAAGGAGATCTTGCTTCGTCTTGTATACCCGTTATCGCCATGGCTTTTTGAGTAGTTTAGCAATAACGACAAATTTTTTCTGAGTTCTAAAAATTTTTACTTTGTTGTTTTTAAAGTGCGCTGATAACCGTTGTGTGGAGCAAACCTTTGGCTGCATTTTATCCATTTACATTACGGCTACGTTCACCAAGTCCGTAATAATTATTTATTTAATGAAAACCTTGAAAAAATGAAATGAAGTGAAAAGCTAAAATGAAAAGCTTTCTAATAACGTTACCGCGTAAAGGTACTGGAAATTCCAAAACGCTTTTGAAAGCAAACTGAACTATGGTTATGTTGCATAAATAATGTTTAACAGGAAATCATGTTTCAATTTGCAGACCATCTCGAGCGAGTGGTGGCAAGTCTAACTGCAAAACAGCTTTGCGCGGAGATCTTCGGGAACACAGGCGCAGGGCTCGGCACGAGGTGGCTAGTTGAAAATGCAAAAAACGAAGTCCCCTTCGACCCTCGACCATATTCGCTAAGATATCCCCAAAAAACGAAACATCGACTAAGATAACGTCGCAAATTTTGTGTCTTTTCGACCGCAAAAACGAAACCTCTCTTTGCCTTTCTTCCCCAAAAACTATATCCAGCTTGCTTATAAGCCACCTGTGCCGAACCTTGTACAGGCGAGCGAAGACACTGGAAATAGTTAAAGGAAGAGAAACCTCAAGAAGTCGAAGGGGCCTCTGAAATTATCACCACACTATTAGCACAAACGAAGACGCGACTAGTAAGTTTTTCCGACAAAAGTATGAAGCTATCCGAAGGACATTTACAACAACATTTTCCGCTTCGAAGCCCTTGCCGACCGTTGTTCCCACGGTGAAGTACTACCGGAGATATTCTGTCTGCCGAAGAGCGATCCAGACCACGAGACATACTGCTCCGGATCTATACCACTTATATGTCACTCTTCTGCGAGTGCGAGGACATTATCCGAGATTCCCGCGTCCAACGTCTTACCTTCAGAAGGAGAGGATCCGACTACTGCAAAATTCTAAAAACCGTCACCCTCTTCGAAAATGGCGAACGGAGGACACCCACCGTCCAGTATGCCTGCTGAATATGTTGCATGGACCTTTCACCAATACTATCTCCGCTCGCATAACAAGGACACATGAAGCCCAAGATCAAAAACAAGCGGGTTTCGCAAGTGATACAGCCGCATGGACCATCCAGACGGTTTCGAGGATCATTGAAGTCTACAGGGTAAATCAACTTCTATTGTCCTGACCTGATTACGAGAACCTTAGGACAGCGTTGACAATGCTACCATGTCTGCAATAGTCAAGAAATGGATCCAGCTTATGCGAAGATTGGCCGACTGCTACAAGGATTATACAACCATGACGCAGCTCTTACATCGCCTTTGACAATCCAAGTGGAAAGAAGGTCTGACAAGGCGACACAAGCTCTTCACTGCTGCTTTGCAGTGGATAATGAATCACTGGACTAGGACAGAGAGGCATGTGAGTTGACGGAAAACTCTTTTCAAACCTTCGTTTTGCAGATAATTTCGTTCTTTCGTCAAAACGTATCATCGAAGCTTAAAAACGTTCTTTTCCCGAAAAGTATCATCGAAGCTTAAACGATTCCCAGAAGTAGGGAAGAAGATCCGACTGCCAACAAATCGGATAAACATTTAGTTCAAGAAAAATGCCTATGCGAGATGCAAACGTAGAGATGGAAAGCACATACATTAAGACATTTTCTCGCGCATCTTGGACTTTCGATGTACATGGAGAACAACTTGAGAAAAAATCGGAAAAAGAAGAACACCCTGTACCGCTTTCGAGCCTCTGAAGATAGCCAAGAACCAGCTGAGGAGCCGGAGCTTCGTGTCCACCTGTTCGATTGGTGCCGTGAGCGTCGCATGCAGCTTCGCCGACGCCCATTATTTCTTGTTTCCGTCTCTTTTCAAACATTTTCTTTGCAAGCAGAGAATAGAGCTTCTAGGGACTTGTAGTGACTGAGAAGCTACACCGAATTGATACGCTTCGCATAGGTATTATATGCTCTTGTGAAATTACATGCGCGCTTAGATCGCAGTGGAATTAGTCACGTTATAAATGCCGTATATGTCCCATAGATATGCTCTCGGTACTCTATCGTGATCTGTTTAGTCTAGGACGATTTTGGATGTTTAATACACTCCTTAAAACTCGAACACGCCCAATCCGTTGTGCTTCGACACTTTCTTATTTTTGACGTACGTCCCTGCAATGAATCTCTCTTGCACTCTGGCTGAACCATGTATCTCTCGTTATAATTTATAACAAAGTATTTCTCCCTTTGCTACCGTTCCTTTCTGCGGGCAAACTTCCGTTCCCGACAGTGTCGACACGAGGATGATAGCCGCCTTTGCCATCCTTTTATGCAAATATTATTAGGTTGTAAAGAAAATTCAAGGGCACTTTTGAAAATTTCATTTTCAAAGGCATTTTTTATGGCGCTCAGTCGTGCTTTGACTCCAAGCGTTGTATAGTGTTCAGTAGAGCGAAGCATAAACTTTTCAATACCTTCTAATTTCTATCGATGCCAAGACGTGTTTCACCTGCACATCAAAAAAGGGAATCTTTCCAACCATGAAAATCTCGCAATTTTTCTTCCCGTGCCCATTTTTCTGTGCAGTTCAAAGAATTTCGTCCAAATCATGAGCGATCTGATTAAGGAATCTGTTAACTCCTGACTCGCAGCTGCATTCGAGTTTTGCGATTTGTGCTTAGAAGTTACAAGCCAAACTTGCCTCTGACTGCAACTCTTTTCGCAGCTGACGTCGCTTCTGCAGGGATCGCCGCGCCTGGGTGATAGGTCCAAAAGACGTGTAAGGCACTACCCCAAGAATGTTCGCAGTGATCAAAGATTCGGTTCACCCTATGCAGAACGACAAGACTTCAAAGTCAATTACTCGAAAAATGGTGCATTTTTAGGGGCAAAAAATGGTGGTTTTTCAAACTTTGTGGAAGAAGGTTTTTTGCAGGTGACCCCTTTAAGACATGAATGGTCCTCATAACAGTCCAGTAGACTTCTACATAACTACAGCATCTGGGGTCTTCAGCTGTTATCCTGCCTGAGATAATCCTGCACAAATAGGCCACTTTTCGCCTTCGACCTTTCTCCCTTCTGCGTATGCTAGTGGACCGCTATGAGGTACTGAAAAGTCAGCACGACAAATATATGTTGTAGACGAAATTCTCTTTGCAGTGAAATTTGTAGCTTCGAAAAAGGATTAATCTGCTTGAAGTTACAGCGATTTGAAAAAAAACTCGCAAGTGCCCCGGGACCTTCCTTACAACCTAATATATGCACATTCATAGATGCATTCATCCGCTCAAAAACCAAAGGCAAATCTTTTTAGTGGTGCTTTATTTTGAAATGGATGAAGTGAAGGCAGGTATGAAAGTAGGTATAGCGGTGCCTGGTATACTAGCGTTTTATGTAATTCTTGCATATGGACACAACACACGTTTGATTGTAACAATTTCTGTAAAATTGATGATTCCGAGCTCCAGTCAAATAAAAGCAGCTGGTGGCGGCTAACGGCGGCTGATGCTGTTGAAGTGAGGGCGATGGACGGCGCTAATAAGCATTAGGACAAAGAATTCGTTGAGTTCGCAACAAGAAGACATTCCCATGAGACGTTCATGAATATGTCAGACATAAATAACAAACAAGAATAGAACAGATACAAAAAGAAAACCAAAAAGAATTATAATGTTCATACTCTCCAACTTGGTAGCAGCGGGCGCGCATCACCGCGCGCTTGAAGCGGCATTTCCCAGCCGTTTAATACTTTTGGAATGCTGTAACTAGGCGGGGAGGAAGGGGCTTGGGAGGATCGAAACAGTTTTGTAGGGTCTCGGACGTATAATAAAGTTAGGTAAAAGGATTGAAAAAATAATGTGGAGAGAGCGCGTATGTGGCACTTCCTGCACCCCCTACTGCGCATCTACACTGCAAATTGGGTGCCATATCATTTCCTATTGTTGTAAACAAGCCTTTTGTACATATGAGGACAATCTCGACAGCACTTGTATGTAGAGCATAACTGGATTGACAAATTGCTGGTTTCGCAGAGAATGTAATAGGTAAGGCAAAGATGTGCACTTGCGGTGACTGTAGAAAACTAGGGGATGGAATGATTGGGGAGGGAGGGGAAGCGGGGAGAATTGGTGTATGTATGTGTATGATTCATATATCACTAGCGATAGAATAAGGTTTGCTTGTAAGACAATTGGTTGATTTCATATATAATGTGAAGCCACTACTATATCCTCCGATACTTTGGTTAGCAAGTCGAAAATGAATGCACTGTTTGACCCTTGATAATTCTCGGCATGATTCTAACAATAAGAAGGGAAGGATGATTGGTGACCTGAGCTTTTGAGATTTGTTATACATCGAATGCTCGTCTTCAAAAGCTGATCTCCTATGTTCGTTATCTGCGGAACGCTTTTTTAAGAAAAATAGAGGCGAATGTCATGACATATGCCACGCATCGAAAGGTTACGGTCATCATGTACACTTTCTCCGTAAAAGCTTCGTCTTCCTGAATGTTGCACAAGACTGTTAGATCTATTTATTCACTTCTAGGCTATTACTAGGGCAAGCCGCCCTCTTCAGAGCCTGTAAGAGCGCAATCCGCTTCGAATACAGGCACTAAAAAATACAAGCACAATGCAAACATGTTCAACCAGCCAAGTCTAAGTTCACTCAAGATATTGCGAGCTCCTATTAGTCAGTTTCCAATGAATTTTTGATGGGTTTGCGACCAGGGCTCGGCACGAGGTGGCTAGTTGTAAATGCAAAAAACGAAGTCCCCTTTGACTTCGCCATAAAAGTACGACATCCTTCTTGACACACTAACGAACAAATCAAACATGGAAACAAAAAGAATGAAACAGAATACAAGACCGACAATAAATAGACAATAAGAACTAGTAATTGTTTGTATTCTCCGGGTTGGCGGCATGCTGTGTCCGCCGCGCACAACCGCGAGCTTGGAGCATCTTTGCCGCTGCCACCCAGATATTTGGAGGCTATAACTAGACGGGGAGGAGAGGGTTTGGGAAGGTACAAGAGCTGTTTTGTAGAATATTAGATGTAGGTTGCTTTTGTGTAAAAAATTTGGAAAAATTATGTGAAGAGTAGGAATTATATGACTTTGTTTGCGCTAAGCCACCTCAGGTGGCTATCCAGGTGGCTTGAAAGCCACCTAACCCCGAAAAAAGTTTGCCATACCCTTAATTCACATAATTTTTTCATAATTTTTCATACATAGTCCCAACTCCCCACTGCCCATCTACACACCTAGTTTGGTGCCATTTCATCTTCACTTCGCTGTAAACAAACCCTTTGTTTATCTTCTGGCGGCATGCCGGCAGCGTGCCGGCAGCAGATCGAAAGACAGCGTTATGCTCTTTCGCAAAAACGATATCTTCTTTGCGTTTTCCCCCAAAAACGATATCCAGCTTGCTTTGCAAGCCACCTGTGCCGAGCCCTGTTTGCGACAGGCAGCCCATTCTGTCTGATATTTTTACCTCAACCTAATTGACACCGAGTGTGTACGAAGCCACTGGACCTTCTGTGTTTTGCGCGATCTGAAGGTTTACTGGAAATTTTTGTACTATTTCTTAACAGACTCCGATATTGCAATATACACAGCTGATCGATTTTCAAGGCTTCGCCTTGCACTCCGTAAGTAGATACCTTTGGCTTTTCACCCTCTAAACGATATATAGCCTGTCCTGTAAGCCACCTGTGCCGGCCCTGATTGAAAATTCAAGCACTGTCCTTAAAAACACTATTTTTGAGATTCCACAAAAATCTTATCATACCGTCGAAACTGCTTCACAAACCTACAAGAAGTTGTTTGCTGAAATCAAAGTCTTCAAAGTCTCTCACAAAAGGTTCCATATGTTTTAGCAATTTTTTTATAATTCGGCTACTTCGCAGGCCTCCACTAACATGGAAGCTCTTGCCGTTATCCTACAGCGATAGAGGCCATCGCTTTCGCTCCATACTGCGAATCTAACTACTACAGAATGTAGCGCATATTTACGTATATTACAGTGGCGTACCGAGGGGGGGGGGCGGGGGGGCGCCCCCCCCCGGGTCGCGAAATTTTTGAAAGTTACTTACATGAGTTATAAAAATGTGCAAGTGACTTGTTTATTTTTGTAAACAATTAAAATAATTTTTAAAAATTTTTAAAAATTCAAATTAGCCTTATAAAAAAATTTTTTTCGGGGGCGTGGCTGACGCCACGCCCCCTTTTTCCAGATTCTAGGGGTTGGGGGCCCGCAAAAATTTTGAGAAGCCCACCTAAAATTTTTTCGGAGTGCGTGGCTAATGCCACGCACCTTCATTTTAAAAAAATTTTTGCCGCGCCCCCCCCCCGAGCCGAAATCCTGGGTACGCCACTGGTATATTAATATGTATAGACTGTAAAACAGAAAAAAGTTCTTTTTCTGAAAACTTGTCTGTGACAAGTCATAACTTCCTTTGAGGTTTGTTATTACACATGATAAATAGCCTATCTTGTAGCCACAAGCCAGTAGTAAAAAAAAGGATGGAAAGGGCTTGGAAAGAGAAATTGGCAGAAAGTATAAAACCAAAAAACAAAATTGTCCTCTTTTTCCAACACTTTTTCATGCGCCTTGAAGTCACAGATTGTGAAGTTTTTGATTTTCTGCGTACTGAAAAGTTGAACATCTTTACAAAAAATGCGCAAAAAAGGCTATGGTCAAAAAAGCCAAAAACGATGCATCATGTAGACAATTTCTACACATGCAAAAGCTGAATTTTCGAATGAATGCCGTCATTCGCGCATGAATTTTGGCCAGAAAAGTAAATGCAATGGAATTCTGGTTTTGAGTGCCATTATGTAAAGCTCAGGGTAATTTTTCAACAAATGAGGCTAGAAGCTTATTTTAATCACTATCATTCAGAGCATGAAAAGAGCTTTCCAAAAGTATGCTAAGTTTATGTCAAGGAAGGAAGATTGATGGAAAAAGTTGTCCTAAAACAAGGCCTGAAAAAACGCTCATTACTTTGCACCAACCTGATAGATAACATCTAACTAATTTTTTATAGGGTTTTACATGTCCGAAAGGTAGCATGAGTATTGAAATATAAAAAAAAATTTGCTTTAGGATGTTCAGATAACTCTTTTCGAAATATAATATTTACTTTCGTAACCCATCATACAGTTAGATATTTCGTTAAAAGCAAAAAGGTGAACAGGATGCTTCGAAGATGTCGAGTAAGTATTCGTATTCTAAGTAATATGAGTATTATGAGCTTATTAATTCGTAGAAATACCCGATCTAACAATAAGATGGTTTTTGGAAAAAGAGTATTTCATGA